GGCCTTCCCTGCTGCATGGGTGGGGGGCGTCCTGTGCTGCATGGGAGGCTCCCCACTCTGGGGGGTTTCCCTTGGAGGGCATCCTACTGCTGTGCTGTCGCGGGGGCGCCCCCTGCCTGGCTCAGGCCCGAGGCAGAGGCAGGAGTTAGGTGCAGGGGTCGTTTGTGGGGTGCTGCTCTGTGGGCCCCCCCCCCCAGCTGTCTCTCCCGGTGTCAGCGACCAGGGCAAAGGTTGGGGCCGAGTTCTGCCCTGCCGGCCGGCTGGGAGTGCCGGAGCTGCTGCCTGCCCGCGGACTCATGTCCAGCGCTGGTCCGGGGGGGCTCCCTGCTGGTCCAGCTTCAGCTGGCCGAGGAGAGCCGGGGTGTTTCCCCTAGCTGTTCGGCGGCTGGGTGGCGCGCGGGGCCCCCAGCGGAAGTGGCGGGCGGGCGCTCACGTGGAGGTTGGCCTTGTTCAGAGAAGGTAATGTCAATGCAGCCATTATGATTCAGCTGAGTCTTACTGTCTCGGTCCCACCCGTGCTTACGTTGTGGCTGAGCTGCTCGACCCCTTTCTGTGCGATCTGTGGAGCGACAGCGGGTCTGGGATTGATGCCCTGATCCCCATGCGGGCAGCAAAAGGGCTCAGCGGCGGGGCAGGCCTATGTCTGGGAGTGGCCTTTGGCAGTTAGTGCCCAGCCAGGTGGGGCTCGGGCATGTGTAGCGTTGGCTGGAGCTGAAAGGGAGACGGCATCATCGTTCACTACACAAATGCATGCCTGCAGCGTGTCATGCGGCAGAGGTTAGCCTCAGGAGGCTGCCCTCTACTACTGGCTGTAGAGAGCTGCGGTTATGGATGTCGTCTGGACTTGGGAAGGCTACAGATAGCTTCCCCTAGGAAAGCTTTTGGCCATGTGTGAATTGGCTTTGAAACCCTTTGGGAGGAATCTTAAAATGCCTCAATAGAAGTGGTATTTAAAGGTGATGGCATTGCTTGGGATATGAATAGTTGAACTGGGAAGAGAAACCTGCTAATTTGCTTTCATATCTGCAGTTTAATTGTTGATCTGAATAAAGCTTGACGTATTGACATTTCCAGAGTGCTGTAGGAGCATTATTTCTTTATTTTAACTATCAGGACTACAGCATTTCTAACTGCTTCAAACGTTATCGGTTTAAATTTGTGCAACTTCAGTTGCTGTCTTGCATGGGGCCCCTTGCATTATGGGTGCCAGCGAATACAAATAGTAAGTAGTTTGACATGCAACCCACTGTCTGTTTTATGCAAAATGTTTCTTTACGTATATAGTAATAGACTGGGCAGGGCCAGGAGCACATCTCTAGGGAAGCTGTCAAGACATTACTCTGAGCAGAATCGTTCAACTGTTAACGTAGGCGGAGTTTTGCATGCTTGTTTCTGAAAGGGCCTGGCCCAAATTAGAGACCCAAAGTTTATGAAGCATAATAAACCTTTCAGGGATGGGTGAATGTGAAGCCTAGGTCAGGAATAGAGCCCTTGAAATGGGGATTGTGCTGAAATCACTTGTCATTGCCCATAGTCACAGCCTCAGCAGTAAGGTTAAGAATTGGGAGGACCACAGGGTTGATCTGCATCTCACACTTAGCTGTGGGTACCCCAGGGCAGAGATGAGACAGTATTGGCAGGGAATTGAGATCTTTACTACTTTCCTGGGTAAATGGGTCTCCAGTCTTCAAAGAAATGTCTTGGAAAGGCTAAGTCATTGACTAACCTTATACACCGAGGCTGTTGCTTCATTCTGTATAAAATAAACTATGACTTTAGGGTGTAAAACCACTGCTTCCCTCAGAGCGTATGACATCAGGAATAGGTATCTATGGTGGGCATTCAGATTAACACATCCTTTCCTGAGTTGCATGCCGATGACTGCAGTGGACTGGAGAGCAGCGCTTTGGCTTCTTGCACAAACAGACCTCTTCAGTACCAATACCCAGATTCTCCTTAAACGCTTTGCTGGGCCAAGGCAAAGAACCCAGAGACTGCTCCCTAGCTGTGTGAGTTTTTCAGAAACTAAATATCCTAGTGTTGCAGTTCTGGCCAATAACAGAGCGGACTGGCATTGCTAGATTCTGGCACTGTCTCATTTGGCAACGGTCACTACTTCAAGTTTCTCAGTAATCAGTGTAGGGTGTCAGCATATCCACTAGTTTTCAATCATTCTGTGAGACAGGGAAGCATTTTCACTGTTTCTAACAGCATATTCCATTTCTGCACGTGTTGAAGAAGGGCGTAATATACTTAATTGCATAATGTAAGCATCAGTGATCTGCATATCGGCTAAGTGCATAAATCACATAAGTGCATAGTTGCTCTTCAGCCCGACTGTCCACTTTGTAAGGTAATCACTCGCTTTACAGGCATAATTAGTGAAACTGCCTAGCAACTGGCAGTTTCAAGGTTTATAAAGCACACTTGAACTGACTAGTTGCTGTCACTTCTAAAGACCTTGAGAGTGGTGAGTTCAAGACCCATCTCTGCCATGTAGGCTCTTGATCAACCTTCTTGGCCTGTTAATTCAAGGCTGCTATTAGAGGCATTAGGTGCTCTTAAGAGACAAGGGAAGGAGCTATAACAAGGTGCCAAAGCTTAGTTCAGGCTATTCCTGTAGCTAATGAGCATTGTTTGCATTTAGTTAGGGGAGCTGCATCCCCTTGGTAAGTGTATAGCCTTCCTCAATCCAGAGGCTTTGCACTTTTAAACAGAGTACGCTAAAGATTGAAGACTGACATGCAGAGAAATGAAATGACTATAAGGCCATGCAATGAATCAGCGCAAAAGCTGGGATTAGCACTGAGCAGGCCATGTATTAGTTGAGACCATATTGCTAAAGATGTGCTGCAGGCAAGTATTGTATCATCCTTCAGAACTCAAGGTTGGCTTCTCTCTCCTCCGCACGTTAGAGATTTTCAGACTCAGCTGCATATCTAGCCTTGTGCTATTAGGATAACCACTTAAAAAGAGCGAGTGTAACAGTTCTCCAAATCTTTGCCAGCTCTTGGGCTGCTGCTATGTGACAATTCACCTAACAGAATTTGGATAATTTTATCTGGAAATTAAATCATTCTGCAGACTTTTTTTTTTACTTGTTTCGGTAATGTAGTTAGAGGTTTGGGTCTTCCAGATACATTTTGGTGCAAGAGATGATCAAGGTGTAGGGTCACTAATCAAGCCCGATAACAGACAAAGGAAGTGAAAGTTATGTGAAGCCACATTTAAGTAGAATACATGCCTACTATGCATAGCTCATCTATTTCTCTCTGCAGGTCATAGTTTGTGGCAGGGGCAGCTTAGTATGGTATTGTTTTAGAAGGTGTCTCGAGCCATAAGCCTTATTCAGGCAGACTTCCATGAGAAATTTCTTTCTAAGCAAGCCGAACAGACACTGATTTGGCATGTTCAGTGTCCTGGGGCTTTTGACCTGTTCGAGGTTCCTTCAGGTACTTGCAGAATGAAAATGGAGTTAGATAGTTTGCTACTTTAGCTTGTCTGGTGAGGACTTTTATGATGTCATGTACTTCATTAAAAAGCCATAGCTCTTAGATACCTAGATCCACCTCTTTCCTAATGGACCGTGTTATTGCTGTTGGACAGTTGAATAGCCAGCGTTGTAAAGCTACTTTCTCATTTGAGGTGGACTCCAGGTGCTGTACAGCAATTTCAGAACAAAACACCCAGACAGTCGGACTAGCTTCACAGTGCATACACAGGGAATAGGAATCCCACAGAGACGCATCTGAAATGCAGGGGAATATTCAAAAGGAAAGAGGGGGAAGGTTTTTATAATGGCTGTCATAATCTTCAACATTCTCTTTTATAAGATATGAACTTAATTGGTTTATCTTGTTAGAGGGTAGCCATTTTATGACTAATAAAGATTCAGTTGAGGGGAAGGAGCTCTTCAGAAGGTGGTTAAAGATGGGGACAAAACGGCGAAGACATGTTTGAGGGGAAGGGAGGTGTTGTGACATCTGGGGAGCCCCCAGGCATAGTGCAGATGCAAGCTGGCCTAAGATGCAGCAGTGGGCGTTGCAGGTGATGTCACTGTAGAAATACTTCACTTGATGAGAGTAAGGGTAGACTGGGATGTAGGTGGTCGATCTGAGTGGATTGGGATGTAGGCTGTGAATCGGAATGGATTGCCGTAGGGCAGAGGATTACTGAACTGGGAGCTGAGGTCAAGCCAGATATCAAGCTGAGGGTTGAGACAAGGTCATAGTCAGGGCATGGCATTGGTCAAGTCAGGAGGTTCAAGACTTTCATCTGGGGTCAGGAAGTGGATCAATCTTGCTGTGCCTGGGCTCATCACAGTAAGTATCCAGGTTTCCAGGGTAGTGAGGACTTAACCATGAAATGTTTGAGAAAGCGAGTGTTCCTGAATTGACAGCAAGGGCTTTCTGGCCTGAAAGATATTTCATAGCTCGAGTGGTCTTAAATGTGGTGTGCTTTGAGAAGAGACCTATTGCTGTCTGGCCCTGGACTTTCTGCTGCAGAGCTGTTGCTTGCACTGTCACATCACGCGAGCCTGCATCCAAAAATGCAACAGAAATCAAATATAGCACAGGCTGTGGATATGCCTGGAGAAGCAGGTGCTCCAGCCAGAGTGTGTGCATGGTAGTAAATATCTCCTGTCCAGTCCTGTATGTTAGCAACGGCCCCTTCTGTTCATGTGTCTGGTAATCTTTATAGTGTAAACCTTGTGGGAGCCACTCTCCTGTGCCAGGACCCTGCAGCCAAAAACTCTGACTCTTCTGTCTGTCATTCTATCCTCTCTTTCATCCGCTCTTCAGCTGAGATATCGGTGCTGTTACCCCAGTCTGAAATATGGTAGTAATCTTGGTTACTGGATAAAATCATTAGAAATTATTGATAAGGCATCATAGAAATTAAAAAAAAAAAAAAAGATTGGGTTGCAATTGTGCTTCCCTGGAGAACTGGGGATAAAGTTCCAGAATGGCACTGGGCCTTGGAAAGAAAATCCTTGTGCTAATAGCAAGAATTGCTGTTAGCATGTGAATTCTCTGTGTATAATGTGATTTATTTTTCCTCCCCTGCTATCTGGGTATCAGTCTGTGAAAGACTAATTCCATTCCTTATATTAAGGTCTCTGCTTGCCACTCAGAGACCCAATTCTGTAGCAATCAGAACAAATGAGCTCAAATCAGCCAGGTATTGCACTGAAACGAAAATGCTTAACATTTTTCATTTAATAAAAAAAGAGAGGTGGCTTGGAAGAAATTCACCACTTCAAGCTGTCATAAAATGTTCAGTGTTTAGCTGTGTTATGTTTAGTGAAAGCAGGAAGGCTGCTAGCTTAGGAATTGAGCCTGCAGGAAGTAGGGCAGGGTGCTGGCTTAAAATAGTAATGAAGGCTGGGCCGTTTGTGATGAACAGAGCTATTTAGGTAAATCCCGGAGTCCCGGAGGGGGTTCTGATCTAAAGATATTAGCTTGTAGACCAGTAATTGTCTGGGTTTATCTCTGACTTTTCTTTCCTAGTTTTCAGGCCTTTCCTTTGTGGTCCTTTTACACTTCATTGAAGACTGCCTTGTGGTGCTGGGTCGACTTACCAGTTGTACAGTGTGTTAATATCTTGCTTGGTAATGGAATTAGACATCGTTAAGCAGTTTGAGCAAGGGAACAGACAATGTGACGGCTATCAGCATTATCCTATAATACAAAACTCTGCTTAAAACCCCTCTTTGACTGTAGCCTGGTGGTCTACTGTTGGCATGCAGGACTGCTGAGTGAGTCAGGCTTGCGTCCTGGGCTCGAACAACCCTAAAACACTTTGAGGAAGAGGGTGATTTCACTGCTTGGTATTGGTGAGGTGTGC